CGCGAATGCGCAGGATGGGGAAGAGGAGGAAAAAAACTCCCACACGTATCCGCATCAATCATTATCCTCCTCCCCACATCGTGAGCACACCGATTCCTCGTCGTGGACCGAAGGGGTGATCGGGCGAACGCAACGACAGGGAAGGGAATGGATGACGGTAATGAGGACGATTGTAAGGACGACGATGAGGATGAGGATGGGGATGAGGAGGATGAACCAGCAATATTCGTAATATGTTCAAGTGGTGAATGTGTGAAAAGAGGGGTCCGAATTGACGTCACTCTCTTGCTCCTCCATCATTTTCTTCGGAGAAGAGAGCGGTGCGGTTGCCATATTGTCGGGGGTGAGCGCGAGTAGTAGGAAGGAAACGGTTGATGACGATGATGGTGATGATGATGTTGATGATGATGATGATGATGATGATGGTAGTGGATGATGATGATGATGATGATGATGATGATGATGATGATGATGATGATGATGATGATGATGATGATGATGATGATGATGATGATGATGATGGTAGCAGTGATGATGATGATGATGATGATGATGATGATGATGATCATGATCATGATCATGATCATGATCATGATGATCATGATGATCATGATGGTCATGATGGGCATGATGATCATGATGATCATGATGATCATGATCATGATCATGATGATGATGGTGATGGTGATGATGATGATGATAATGATGATGGTGGGGATGGGGATGGGGATGGGGATGGGGATGGGGATGATGATGACGATGATGATGATGATGATGATGATGATGATGATGATGATGATGATGATGATGGCGATGGCGATGGCGATGGCGATGGCGATGGCGATGACGATGGTTGTGATTGTGATGATGGTGATGTGGACGAGAAGGAAAGAAGCACAAAGAGAAGGTCGATGATGGCATGGTGGATGTGCCAGAGAGGAGGACGACGCACCTTTTTTTCAATCTCCACATACCTCATCACCACTAAACAACGAAAGGATTATCGAGAGAGAATCAATCCCATCTGGACCCTCCCCCACGTCGTCATTATCCTCCTCTTCCCTCCTCATTCACTTTTCCTTCCCCTCAGCTTCCTCCCTCTGCTCTCACACTCCTTCCTCCACATCCCCCGTCTCCATATCCGCTTCTTCTTCTTCCCAGTCCTCGCATATTCGCTTGGTCGGTGAATCAGGGGGAGTAGAGGAGGCGGATGGGGGTGAGGGGTAAGAAGGAGGGGAATCCGCATATTCTTCGCTCTCCTCATCGCCATCTGCGTTCCACCGTCTCCTCCCATCGCCCCTCATTTTCGTCGCGCGACCTCTTTCATCGGAGAGAGAGAAGAGGCGCGCGCAGCAAGGAGGGCGGGAGGAGGATAGTGACGAAGAGCAGGCCCAGTCGTTGCTGACACTTCATTTTCATCCGAGGATGCGGAGGAGGAGGAGGAGGAAGAGAACAACGACGACGAATATGATGGGGGCGATGGGAGTGGTGGCGAAGAGTACAATCAATTCATTCCTGCAGTATCTTTGTTACCCTCGTTATTCCCATCACCCACACTTAGAATCGACGTGCGTCTTGCTTGTCCACGGTGGAGAGGGGAGAAGAAGAACCAAATGAGGACAATGGCAAGGGAGGAGGAGGTCGACGACGACGATGATGGCAATGATGATCACTATGCGAAGGAGGAGGAAAAGGGAGGAAGGTAATGAAGAGGTGGGAGAGGATGACGATCAAAACGACAGAAGGAAGCGAACGGGGTGGGAGGAGATCGCGAGGAGCTTCGAAAGAAGGATAAAGATGAGGGCGAGGACAACGAGGGAGAGCAAGGAGAGATGAACGAGCAAACGTACAACTTGCCGGATCACAGCCCAGCGGAACACAATCAAATCAAAAAGGTGGGGGAAAGCAAATCAAAAGCATGCTTTTGTGGCGGCAACAACACGCTTCCGCGTGTGACGATTTTGCAGCATGGTTCCCGTTGTGGAGGTCCTACAGTAACAATAAGATAATATATATATATATAAATAAATAAATAAAAAATGTGGTGACTTTGCAACAGATTTTCTCTGTGGTGCCCTAAACGGAAGGTTTGTGACAGTTTTACAAGAGGATGTCTTGTGTGCAGCCGTACAAACGAGTTGTCATGTATGGCAACCTTACAGAAAGGATTATCCGTAAGGGCTTCGCCCCCTGCCGCCAGCCCCCTCTCTCGGAGAATGCGCTGTGCAAGAGTTATGTCATGAGGCCTGGGCGCTGTCGTGAAGCAGTATCGGAACTTCATGCGAGGCCGACTCGTAATGAGCAAACCCAATTGATCACCAGAGGGGTTACCACACCTGGCGGTTGGTAAGACGTCGTGACCTTGCGGATCTGCGTGAGGGGTGCCACCGAATTTCAGAAGTGTGGCAAATCCTTTGTGTTGTTGGACCCTGACCCTACGGATCCGCGTGAGGGGTGCCACCGAATTTCAGAAATCTGAAATCCCGTTTGTTTTTGGACCCTGACCCTACGGATCTGCGTGAGGGGTGCGACGAATTTCAGAAATGTGGCAAATCCCATATGTTTTTGGACCTTAACCCTACGGATCTGCGTGAGGGGTGCGACCGAATTTTAGAAATGTGGCAAATCCTTTTGTGTTTTTGGACCCTGACCCTACGGATCTGCGTGAGTGGTGCGACCGAATTTCAGAAATGTGGCAAATCCCATGTGTTTTTGGACCCTGACCCCACGGATCTGCGTGAGGGGCGCCAGCGAATTTCAGAAATGTGGCAAATCCCTTGTGTTTTTTTTGACCGTGACCCTATGGATCTGCGTGAGGGGCGCCAGCGAATTTCAGAAATGTGGCAAATCCCTTGTGTTTTTTTTGACCGTGACCCTATGGATCTGCTTGAGGGGCGCCAGCGAATTTCAGAAATGTGGCAAATCCCATGTGTTCTTGGACCTTGACCCTACGGATCTGCGTGAGTGGTGTCGCCGAATTTCAGAAATGTGGCAAATCCCATGTGTTTTTTGAGCCTGACCCCGCCGATCTGCGTGAGGGGTGTCGCCGAATTTCAGAAGTGTGGCAAATCCCATGTGTTCTTGGACCCTGACCCCGCCGATCTGCTTGAGGGTTTTTTTTTATTTTTGTCCCCCCCATAAATTCGGAAAACCTTCCCAGGGCGTGGTAGAAATGCCCGGTTTGGGCCTCCCCCCCTCGCGCGGTCCATCAACAAGGAACAGTAAGCAGCAAGAAGTCAACAAGGAACAGTAAGCAGCAAGAAGCAGAATTGTAACAGTGGAAACTGGAAGCTGCAACTGGCACAGGAAACTGCGAAGCTTCGTCCTACAGCCTGGTGGCCCCACAAGGGGGCCGGCGGATTTACGTGGCGGCCTTACACAAGAAGTCCTTTTGTGGTGGACTCACACGAGGATTACCTTTTTGTGGTGGCCTTGTCACAAGGATGTTCCTTGTTGCGGACTTACAACAGGTGTTCTCGTTTGGCGGCGCTATAAGAGGATTTGTGTTGTGGATGTCTTGCAAAAAAAACTGTATGTGGCAGCTTACAAGAGGATGTCTTGCGTGCAGCCGTCCAAACGCATGTTCTTCCATGGCACCCTTACAAAAAGGATTGTTTGTGTGGCGGCTGACAAGAGGATTCCCTTTTTGGCGGCCTTTTATACAGATGAGCCTCTTTGCGGCGACCTTACGAAAGGATTCTCTTTGTCGCGGCCTTACGAAGGACTATTTTTGCGGCGGCTGCACAAAAGGATTATCATGACGGCGGTCGTGCAAAAGAATGTCGTGTTGTGGCGGTCTTGCATAAGGATTTCTTGTTGCGACGGCCTTGCAGAACGATTATCTTTGTGGCGGCATTACACAATGATTACCTGTGTGGCGGCCTTGCAAGAAGATTTCGTGGTGGCCTTACAGAAGGATTATCCCTGCGTCGGCCTTAGAAAAGGAATCCTGTCTTCGCTGGGTACAGGAAGAAATCCAGAGAAGAAAAACAAACATTACCTTAAGATGAAATTGAAGACTTCTTGTGTGATCAATGATGCTGGTGCTGGAGGCTGAAAATTGTGAAAGCATGGTTCTCAGCAATCGGAACTCCCAAAAACTGTAAAACAAAACGTTCTCAGCAACCAGGGTTCCGAAAAGTTGTAAATCACATTGTGTTCAGCAAGCGGAGCTCCAAGGCGCTGTATTTTTCTAGCGTTTCGGGCCTACGATTGCTGAACACGCTGTGTCGCACAGCGTTTGGGAGCTCCGATTGCTGAAACCGGTGTGCTTTACATGTGTTGCAGCCTCCAGCACCAGAATCATAGAAAACATGTCACATGTCACAGTTTCAGTGGATGTGGCATTTTGTTGTGTTTGTCTTAGTTTCTCCTTGTGTCCACCACAAAAGAAAATCCTTCGGTTAGGCCGTCAACAAGAAAACCGGAAAACCGGAGGGTAAGGCCACCAGAACATGAATGTTGGTGCAAGGCCCCCACACAAAGAAATCCGTTTATAAGGCCGCCACATAAATAATATTTGTGCAAGGCCGTCGCAAAGGAAATTATTGTTGCTATGTTGCCGCTAAGATACTCCTTGTGTGAGGCTGTCACACACGGGAAACTGCAAAGACAAATGTTGCTGCAATGTTGCCGCTAAGATACTCCTTGTGTGAGGCTGCCACACACGGGAAATCCGAATGCAAGGCCGATACAAAAAGAAGTCATTTCATCAGGCCCTCGCAAAAGTAATAGGTTTGGAAAACCGCCACAAAAGGAAGTCTTGTTACAAGGCCGCCACTCAGAGATTGCCTGCTTCGAAGTTTCGAAGCGTGTACGTTTCTGGTGTGCTTGCATGGTTGCTGGCAAGAGAACTGTATGTTCCAGGGCACTTGTAAGATCCTTCCCCAGGGCGGAGGGGGGCTCACGATCGGGGCGGGAGCGAGGCCGCAGATCCCGCCCTGGGGGGGGGAGGGGGGGGGCAGGCCGCCGCTGGGGGCGCCGCTGGGGGCGCCGCGGAGTCGGAGTTCGCCCCGCTGCCTGGCTCGGACCTGCTGATGAGGCCCTGCGGCTGGGGAGGGGAGGAGCGGAGGAGAGGACGAGAGGGGAGGAGAAACGGGGGGTTGGACGGAGGAGGAGGCGGAGGAGGAGGAGGAGGAGGAGGAGGAGCAGCAGCGGGAGCGGGAGGAGGTCGACGACGACGGCGACGAGGGAGAGTACGCAGAGGAGGACGAGCGGAAGGAGGAGGAGGAGGAGGACGACGACGACGGCGGCGATGAACCCATATATTCAAGAGCTCTGCAAGCCAAGTGTCAGCGGTCGGGGCGAGCGAGCTTGCAGGCAGCGGCAGGAGACAGTAAAGGAGGGGTGACCGCACTGGGAATGTAACACCCGTCCTCGATCATCTGGTTGCACTGTCCGGACAGGGGTCCGCAAGGCTCCAGATATGTACGAGTCTTGTTTTGTGCCATCTGCCATTCTGGGTGTTGAGTTTTAATTGCGGTCTCGGCGTTCATCAGCGCGTTTGTGTTTCGCCGTCTCGATCGCCTCCTTGGTGGCGGCAGCCTCAGCAGAAACCTTCACACTCACGTAGCAATCGTTCATCGCCATGGTGAGGTAGCCTCGCTCGGCCTCCAGCTTCGTCAGGGTATCTGGGAGCTGAACCGACGTGTCGCACCACTCGAGGTCGACTACATCTTGAGACAGTAGTTCTCGGAGGGCGGCAATGACCACTCGAACTCGGCGATCCGCGATCTGCCCAGCATCGACAAGCAGGTGTGTCACCAGGCTGATCGCATCATCGAACCACTTGGCAGGGATGGGTCGCGACGACGTTCCCAAGTCGGCTAGCGGCTGGTGGGGCTTGTCCATCTCGAAGTAGATCGCACTGATCCATTCCAATGTTTCAGCTCTTTCAGTGAGTCCATGAGCTTCGGCTCCCATCGAGGCTCTCACGACACGCTTGATTCGTGAACTGCCCCAATCCTGGAGATGTATTGGTCCTTCTTGTCGTTCGTAGAGGCCGTCATCGGAGAGCAAGCCCACGAACCCCGTCTGTGATTTCACCTTTTCGCCGAGTGCGCCGAGCGTGAGGTCGTCAACGTTGCTGAAAACTGCTGTCGGCGAAAGCGTGGGTCTCCATCGTCGTGTACGAAGCCGCTCCGGAAGCGTAGGCACACCTTCCGCGTCTCTTGGCAATAGCGCACGTGCTTGCTCATCTCCAGCAGGTTCTGCACATTGGCCTGGTTCTTCTGTTGGGCGAGCCAGCTGTAGCCAAACGAGACGTTCATTCGGAGCTGCCTGGAGAGCCATCCCAGCGAGCCTATCACCCACTCAGCAAAGCTTCTTTCATCATCCATATCCAGGGCCTTGGTCTGCTTCGCACGGGCTGGGGACATCGTGACAGTCTCCATCTCGTCGATGAAGTGGGTCATGCCGATCTTGATTGAGGAGTCCTCAGCCTGCTCGACGTCTTTGCCGCAGTACCTGAACGGGGGCTTTTCCTCGGTCGTAGCAAGACCTTTTTGAGTTCGTCGGTCGTGGTCTTGAACAGGACGCTGCCGCCGGGGGGGGGGGGGAGCGCCCTGCAGTTTGAGGGGTCGGGGGGCGGGGGTCTGCGAGGGAAGCCCGAAGAGGAGGAGGGAGTAGGAGGAGGACGAAGATAAGGAGGAGGATAGGAGGAGTATGAGGAGGACTAAGATGAGGAAGACGAGGACGACGACGTCGACGAAGAGCAGGAGGGGAAGGAAGAGGGGGGGACGAAGAGGAGGAGGGCAACGAGGAGGAGGAGGAGGAGGAGGAGCTGGGTGCGCTCGCGTCATATCTGACTTCATAGCCCTCCCACCCATCCTTTACCATTATGTAGAGCCCCTCTCCAAGAGCACAGTAGGATGTTGAAGAGGAAAGCGATCCCCAAAGGGTACGCGATGCAGAGCATGGGATCGCATTACGCAGTCAAGCATCGGACATCATAGCATTGCAGCGCAAGGCTTGGCATCGATACATAGCGGCACCTAACACAGCATTGAGTTGCATAACATGGTTGTATGAGCGGTTCAGTTGAAAAAACATGTTGGGGCACCGGCAATTTGGAGATGAGGCCAGTGCTGCAGCGGGAGCACCATTCGGAATGACCGCAAACGCAGATTTGAGAGCGGGGGCATCATTCGGAAGAACCGAAACGCGAAAATGAGACCAGCGTTGCAGCGGGGGCACGATGTTGAAAACTAGAAGCGCCGAAAAGAGGCCAGCGTTGCAGCGAACCCCCTTTGAAGGACCGAGAACGATCGGATTGGAAAAACACATCAGAAAGACCAACGCGCCCACATCATGTGTGTAAAGATATTACGTATGCGGAGGGGGGGGCGGATATTCTCAGCACATGTCCGGGACAGAGAGGCGATTAGTATTCCGGTTTATTGTGGAGGAGGAGGAGGACAACGAAAAGGATAAGGAAAAGGAAGGAAGATTGGGGGGAGGGTGGGGGAGCAGCCGACATCAGCATTTACTATGGAGATCGCTGGCCTGCAGTCGGCATTCGGGCAGTTCACGGTAGCGTTGCGAGACGAGAGTGCGAGGCCGCATTTCCATTCGGGAGTTCAATCGAGGGCTCTCCTTGGAAAAAGAGAGGGGGTCCAGAGGAGCAGCAGTAGCAGTGGCAGCGCCGAAGTCGGAGTGCATAATCGCAAGATCGACCCCGACATATCCTTCATCGCCTTAATACCTCCCTTCCTCCTCGTTCCCCTCGTCCTACTCATCCTAATCCCTGTTCCTCCTCCACCTGCTCGTCGATCCTCGTCACGGTGGCAGACATCTTTAATTTATCGAGTGTTACACCCATCCCCTCCTACGTGGAGGCAGGGTGCGGGTTGGGCCGGATCCCTGGGTGGCGACAGCACGCCCGATGGTCCTGGGATCTCAGACAGATCTTAGGTGCAAGTGGTCTAGTGCGGCGAGGGTTGTTATAGACGATTCGGCATCCGTTCGTTCGTCCCTCCTCGTCCCTCCTGCCTCCCTCCTCGTCATACCTTCCTCCTCGTCCTTCTCATCCTCCTCCTCCGCCTCCTCCTCCTCATCATACCTACCTCCCTCCCTCCCCCCATTCGTCCCTCCCTCCTCGTACCCCCCTCCTCGTCCTCGTCCTCCCTCGTCCTCGTCCCTCACGCCTCTCTCCTCCCTCCTCCTCCTCCCGACCGAATCCGCGGGAGTCAGGCACATCCTGGAGCAGGAGAGGCTGGACGAGCAGAGGTCCGGGACGGTGGACCTCGCGAAGTGGCGCAAGAACTATTTCAGGAAGGACAGAGGCGCTCCGTCCTGCCCCTCCCTTGGTGTCGCTCGGACGTGTGCACTCTTTCTCGGCGGGGATTACTAAGGAGCATTCTGGATCACCCTGCGAACAGAAAAAACACGCATGAAACCGAAAAAAAACGCAGGGAATGGACGTCCGAGCGATGGCCATCCCCCCCTCCGTCCTGGGCAGCTGGAGACCGTCTCTCGGTCCCGGGGCCGTCAAGAAGTACTCAAAGATGAGAGCCGGTCCTTGGGAAGAGGTCGAGATCTGAGGGGGCTCACGTCGCGAAAAAATGCGTCGTCGGAGAAGAGGGTTGAGGGGGAGCTGGTCACGTTCCCAGCCAGGCTGGTCAAGGAAGCGCAAAGATGGACTGAGGCGCGTGGGTTCGCGACGGACCCCGGTTCCGTGCAGAATCGGCGCTCCGTCACCGAAAAGGGCGGCATTGGCTCCGTGTTTCTGGAGTGGATTTTCCCCGACCGGTGGACTTCGGCGCCCATTTTCTGAGATGGATGCTTTCCTCAAACGCTATGCCTGCAAATCAGATGAAACCGTCGCCCCATGTCGGGCTCCAGCCTGATCCAAAAGGTTGCGGGGAGGAGAGGGTGCGAGCGTATGCAAGACCAGGGGCGCAAACATTTAGTCAACGCCTCCTTGTGCTGTAACTGCGGCTGCTGCTACCCTCCCTCGGCGCTATACTAGAATCGAGTCGTCCTGAGAGAATTGCGTATTTGGGGGTTGTCGAGTTCGACCTCCAAAATTAGGCGCCAGATCCGCGGATCCGTAATCCACGTTGCAGTCACGACGCTGAATTAGCACTACTCTCTGCTCAGGAGGGGATCCAGTTTTCGGGCCGCTCCTCAGATTTGGTTACCTGGAGCCGAATCGTGGCCGAGGCCCGTCGTGGCCCGAAAAGCCCCATTCGCTCCTTGCTCGGCGTCCCCTGTGGTACCGACCACCGACGACCAACCACCGACTACCAGCGCCCTGCGCCAGCAGCAGCAACAGCACCAAACCCCGTACAGACCACCAGCGCCGGCTCCACCGAGCGACGCGACACCACCAACACACGACGACATCGTTTACAAGGATGCATTTTCTTCCTCCTTGGCCTATATGATTTGTTCTACGTCTCGCGTGCATGTCTCAACACGCACACACACACACACACACGCACTACAGTATCTCGAGGCTAAGGCCTCACCCACCTCGTCTCACGAGGCCTGGACACTTGTCCGCACTGGTGATTCGTTCGTTCGTTCAGCATCCCCTATTGTAGCACGAAGGCTGCAGTGTGTGCCCCACTTGGGCGTGTGGGCCGACCTGCGACAGCCGGGGGAGCTCCGGCGTGGTTGCCGGTTGCCACCTGCTGGGGCAACAGAGGCGTTCGCGCAGTTTTCTTCGCGCACCAGCACGCGCGCGGGCCCGCCTGCGGTTCGAGGAGGCGCAAGCAGAGGAGCAAACGATGACATGAACGTAGATGTTCGGAGGTCCGCGCGGATTTCTCGGATCGGCGCTGGACCCCCCTCCCTGGCGCGCGGTGCGCGGCAGGGGCGGCGCCGGCGGCGCCGCCAGGGGTGCCAGCGCCGATCCGAGAAATCCGCGAGGAGCGCCGAACGATTATGTTCATGTCATTGTTTGATCCTCTAGCAAGCATGGATTAAAGCAAGTGGATTAGCGGCGGCTCACGTTTCCAGGTAAACTCGACGCGATCCGTCGCCAAATCAGGCGGCACTGGCGCCACGTAAAGGGGGGTATTTCCCCCGATCCGCGGACATGGCGCGCACGCGCCAGCCCCACGGACGGGGGTTGTATGATGGCTGGGGCCAGGATATCCCCCCGGATTTCATAGCCCCCTCTTCTTCTTTCGATACGTGCCTTAGTCTCCCCCCCCTCGTCCGCGCACATGCTTCGGGCCATACTTTGCGAACCCCCTCTTGGATGCTCCCCTCTCAGACGCCTCCGATGAAGTTTGCCAGAGGTGAGCGTGATGCTGCGCCGACCCCAGACTCCCGACGTCGATTTCTCATTGCGTGGACCCCTGGAGGTCCAGCCCCTTTCCCGGAGACGGGCGGCCCATCCCGAGTCGTCTTTGTTGACGGCCCCATGGGGACAGGCAAGGCTCCTCGGAGGCCAAAGGAAAAACAGCAGAGATGCTCCTTCGTGACTTCTGGCTGGGCTGGTCACTTAGTCTCCACACGAGCGAGGCAGAACGGAGTCGTCTGCGCCGACACTGGCGGGTAAGCTTCGGAGCGGGCGTCGGAGAGCAGTCCTCGGACGGCCGGAGCCCTTCCGAGCCTTCTGAGCAGGCCCGTCCCCTCCACCCTGGGCTCCCCTATCGGGGGCGGAAAAGAGGGGGGTGATGATTAGGGGGGGGGATATCATGGCGGGGGCCATGATATCTCCCCAGATTTCGTGGCGCCTCTTCTTGTTTTATCACGTCCCTGGCACCCCCGCTGGGCCGCGCACATGCCGCCGGTCATGATTTGCACCCCCCCCTCTTGGACACCCCCCTCTTTGCCGCTCCCGATACTCCCGGAGCTCTCTCGAGGTGCTTTCTGACCAGAATTTAGAGGCGAATCCAGCTGTAGGGACGAGGGTCTCCCAGGAGGCCCAAGACGGCGAAAACGAACGAAGGGTAGCGGCATCCGTGCGCTACGTACATTGGCGCATGAGTGGAGCGAGTGCCTCCAGGAAGGCCCCCTGAACGAGCATCTAAGGCTGGCCCGTCTTCTCGGCGCCGTCGGGCCGGTCCCGCTTTCTTCGAGTCCCCCTCGCTGTCCCATTCGTCGCCCTAGAGATCCCGACCCCTTCCCTGGGGCCAGGTTTTCGCCCCGCCAGTTGAGCAAAAATGACGTCGTCGGAGATCTGGGATCCCCCACCCTCGTCGCACTCCTCCTCCTCCTCCTCCTCCTCCTCCTCCTCCTCCTCCTCCTCCTCCTCCTCCTCCTTCCTCCTCCACCTCCTCTCCTCCTCCTCCTCCTCCTCCTCCTCCTCCTCCTCCTCCTCCTCCTCCTCCTCCTCCTCCTCCCCGACCTGTTATCCTCCCCTCCCTCCCTTTCGCGCCCCATTCCTCCTGCCCTTCCTTCGCTGCCCTTCTCTTCCCCTCTCTCCCCGCCCTCCTCGTCGCCTCGCCCTCTTTGCCCTGGCTGCCCCGATGTCCCCCCGCCCCGAGGCTGGCGGACGCCGTCTTCCTTCGGGAGCCCTCCGGTGTCCGGCGCTCCCACCGCCGAGGGGACGCCCCAGTTTGTGGAGGCATCGTCCCTCCCCCCTGGCAGGGAGGAGGGCACGAGGAGAAGAGCGGGGAGGAGAAGAAGGAGGAGGGGTCCAGGGACCGAGTTTAACCGGATTGGAATGGTGGTGGTGAGGAGGAGGAGGAGGAGGAGGAGGAGGAGGAGAAGGAGGGGCTACCTCGTGCTCATCGCCAGCAGGGGGGGGAACACGAGGAGAAAGGCGAGGAGCGGCAAGGATCAAAGACAAATTGGCACGAGCACAAACTTTCTCGGCGCTGGACCCTCCTGGCGGAACCTCCGGCGCCGCCCATAGCGCGCCTCGCGCGCCAAGGAGGGGGGTGCGCCGACCCAAGTCATCCGTGCGGGAATCCGAAAGTTTATGTTTATGCCGCTCTGTCTTCTTGTGTAAAGGGTGGTTAGCGAGGAGGAGGAGAGGGTCACCTAGTGCGATCCATGGTTTCGAGGAGGGAAGGACCGGAGGAGGCTGCGGACCGCGCTCTCATGGTTCCGAGGAGGGAAGGAGGAGGAGGAGGAGGAGGAGAAGGAGGAGGAGGCGGCGCTGGTTGGTCAGAAGAGGGCGAGTTGATACAACGGTAATTTGCCTTCGGGGAGCCCCTCGTCGCCGCGGCTGGACGTAGCTCGGAAAATTGGTGCGTTTGGACGACTCTGGGAAGGGGTCCAAGGAACGATTTCGATTTGCCGTTTGCTCAAGTCGCCTTGCTCCGAGTAGGGGGGGTGACGATGACGACGACTGCGGCGACTCTTGCTGAGATGAAGATGGAGATTGTGATGGGGGGAGAAGGCGAGGACGATGACAACGACAACGGCTACGATGGCGGTGATGATGGCGGTAATGATGTTGGTGATGGTGTTGGTGATGGCGGTGCTAGTGGTGATAATGATGACGA